AACCAGAGCAGTATGATGCCCTGCATCATTATCTACTGAGGGATGATGTATTTTGCGTGCTGCCCACAGGTTACGGCAAGTCCCTGATATTCAGCCTTATCTTTGATTGGTCCGGATTTGAACAAAGCGCGCTTTGACTCGTTCGCGTTCATTGGCTAGATCGTTCAATGAGCCATTGAGTGCGGGCTTTAAATTTGATTGGCGGGCGGCGGGGGCACTCGAATCTGGTCAGAGGTTACTTGACACGATGGAGATAGGCTACAGTGAAAAGGTTAGTGTCAAGTTAGCTCTGAAGCTCAGGGTGGTTAACAGTCACTTTTCTTCAATTTAGTTTTGCTTTTAAGAACATATTCACACTGTCCCCTTTGTAAAACACTTCAGATTGTTATATGTCTCATTAATTTAAACTTAAATTTCAGAGGAGTTGGTATAGAAATGACAAGTCCTGTATATGTGGCGCCATCTTTATCTGATATTCTTCCAAGTGTAGTGTTTCCCCAGAATCTTCCGTCTGTCATCTGCAGTCATGTGTTGGATCCTCAGCCAAACAACCGTGTGCTGGACATGTGTGCTGCTCCAGGGGGTAAAACCACACACATTGCCACTCTGATGAGAGACCAGGTGGGGTGTATTGTAAAGATGTTATAGATTAATAATTGATGGAAATGGCAATAATTGATGATAATAATTTCTTCAAACAGGTTGCAATATTATAATACATGTAGTTTGTAATATTAAAGGGGTAAGACCTCTGATTTTGACTGTTGTTTTAACAAATTAAACTTACTTTATCCTTGAAGTCCCACTCTAGGCCTGGCCTGGCAATTAACCAACTTGTGCCTAAATGGTAAGAAATGAAGTTATGAAAGTGAAATTTTGTGTTAGGACCTCTTCTAATGTAGCTGGACAGTTGTGCTGCTGAAGCCTTATGCTACATACAGTGCATTAGTGTGAAAGAGACTCATGGTCTGTTTTCCATCAAAATAATGATGTAGTTTGTTGCAGGGTCTGGTGATAGCTTTTGACAAGGGACAGGGCAGAGTAGAGAGAATACAGTCCAATGCTTCCAAGTGGAACCTGAAGTCTGTCAGGGCATTTCCTTATGATGCTACCAAGAGCTGTGCAATAGATGCAGGTAAACTGTGTGTGTGTGTGCTATATATGTGTGTGTGCTGTGTGCTTGTGTGTGTGTGTGTGCTATGTATGTATGTGGTGTGTGTTTGTGTGTATGTGTTTGAAAGGAATAATTTTGTTGTATATTTCTGTAAGAATAGCAATGTTAATTTCTACTTGCTAATTGAATCTTGACCTAACAGGTTGATTTCAGTGAATAGTCAATGGGAATTAGCTCCAATGATTATTTTGGTGTTTTAAAGCGTTTTCATTTTCTCTTCAATTATATGTTAATGATTGATTAATTTTCATATGTAGTACCAAATTAAACTAGTAGGTTTTTAAATAAGAAAAATTATGAAAAGGCTGGTTCATATTATTCTATCTTATACTTCTTACAAGACATGGTGTATTATTACAGATGGTGATCCTTTCCCTCCATTTCCCCCTGAATATTTTGACCGTGTTCTCCTTGACGCACCTTGCAGTGGTTTGGGGCAGAAGCCGTCCGTGTTCAACAAAATGTCTGCCAGAGAACTAAGCTCATATCCTCCATTACAGAGGAAACTTCTGGCTCAGGTAATGGTGGAGAAATAACAGACCAGCACAGTAAATTTTCTTGAGTGAAAGATAACGATCAGTACAGTTAGTTAAGGACGCTAAACAACATCGTCATATCCATTCATTCAGATAACAGGAGAATCTATTAAGAGTTGTACTGTCGGGCTGTTGTTTCTTTACCGCAATATTCGGTGTGAGATAGCGATCGGTAGTTTTGCTGAGGCGCACAATAGCATTGTTAACAGTAGAGACTTCAGTAACAGAACAAAAGAGCAATATTAAGAGCTGCAACACAGATAACCATTATTGCTTTCTTGTCTCGTTCAGATCGTTCACGATCTCCAGCTGACGATCTTCCGCTAATGAAGTCCCTTGAAATGTACAAATGAAATGAAAAATATTTTTTAAAATTATAAATGGGGAGGGATGGAGGGTTAAAAACAATCGAGAACGATCTCCGGCTGACGATCTTCCGCAAACGAAAGCCACTGAACGAGTATGAGCTTTCTCGTTTCACTCGGATTGCGACGCTGACGATACGAAAATTGCGTTCTCTTCTCGCCCTTTGGCTTACGAAGTCTCTTTAACAAATATGAAAATTGCCTCCTGGTCTCTCTCGGATTGCGAACGATCTCTCCCTGAAAATTTGAAATTTTCCTTTTTGTCAATCAGCTTTGTCAGTTGCCGTGCGTATGAAGGTCCGGAAGGTGTCCCCTTTCACAAATTGGCCTGTAGTTTGCTTAGTGTTTTGTACCGCATGAAGGTCACTCTTGTCACTGCTGCATACGGCGTGGAATGTGTATCTTAAAGTTCATAGAAACATTTTATTGTGTTTTGTAAGCTTTAGGAAGTCGTTTCGTCATAACTGAATATCAGCGTACACTACAAAGTAGTACCATTCATCTGTGACGCATCATAAAAGTTAGGTACGTCAAATTACTCTAAGAAAATTTCTTACAACGTCCACGGCTGCCCCGACAAGCCAAGACGTCATTAAAAAAAAAGGTCGCAGGCCGTCTAGCCGTCTTTGAAAATACAGGCCGTCCGGTGATGTCAGCGGCCGTCCAAATGACGACTGGACGGTTCGCTTGGAAAAGCCTTGATCATAAGGGTATATTTATTTAACTAGGGGCTTACTTACATCACCCAGCTTACATGCGGGTGCATGCCTCATAATATTATTTTAAAGGATAAAATTGTAATATATCTAAGTTTAATTGTTTGTAAATTTTGTAAAAAATGCCCATGCCACCCCGTTAGTTTGGAGGGTTATGCTGGATCAAGTCCGTGTCAAAATTCTTTGACACTTTGCAGGAAAAGTCAATCTTCCTTTGTTTCTCTGGCTCCTTGTTTAGCCCGATGATCAGATTTATCTAGTGCCCCCAGGTCTGCTGGAGCAGCTCTTTGAAAATATCACACAGGTAGATTTTTATCTGAGATAAATATCGCGTTCGATACACTCAAGACAAAAGCTACCTGTGAGCTGAAGGGCACTTTACCCTCTAATAAAGAGGTAAAGCAAGTTCCAGCTAGATGGACGATTAAGATCGGACTTCAGATGGTAACTGTATTGTTTGCCTCAGTTCTGTGAAAGCAAACGAAAAGGGGTGTCAGAACAATGGTGCATATATAAATTATACAGAGAATTTGTACATTCAGGTGACATTAACTTATAATCGAAGGGGATTTTCGATAATATTCCTTGAAAAGTACACTAGATTTATAGAGAATAATATCATGGTTGGCCAAAAAATTATATACGCACAGTGTATCCGTGCGTATGCCTGGTAACGCCCCTGTCGCAAACCAGCAAACCATATCCTGCTGACTACATGAAAATTGTTTTCTAGCATGGACAAAAAGTCCAAGCTTCTATGCTTGCTCGGATCGCTGACGATCTCTTGCTGACGAATATAGTAACGAAGTCCCTTGAACTAGTGTGGAAATTGGCTTATTGTCGCGCTCAGATCGCTCACTATCTCCCATTGACGATCTTCTAGTCCCTTGAACGAATATAAAAACTTCCTTTTCGGTTTACCCTAGATTACCTATCTCTCGCCTTTGTTTGAAGATGGTTTCAATGACAAAACGTACACGCTTTTCAAATGCGTACATTGACGCAACTATGCGCCAGGAAATCAGNGTACACTAGATTTATAGAGAATAATATCATGGTTGGCCAAGAAATTATATACGCACAGTGTATCCGTGCGTATGCCTGGTTACGCCCCTGTCGCAAACCAGCAAACCATATCCTGCTGATTACATGAAAATTGCCTTCTAGCATGGACAAAAAGTCCAAGCTTCTATGCTTGCTCGGATCGCTGACGATCTCTTGCTGACGAATATAGTAACGAAGTCCCTTGAACTAGTGTGGAAATTGGCTTATTGTCGCGCTCAGATTGCTCACTATCTCCCATTGACGATCTTCCAGTCCCTTGAACGAATATAAAAACTGGCTTTTCGGTTTACTCTAGATTACCTATCTCTCGCGTTTGTTTGAAGATGGTTTCAATGACAAAACGTACACGCTTTTCAAATGCGTACATTGACGCAACTATGCGCCAGGAAATCAGTTGCTGCTGCTGGTTAAGATTGGGTTGCCTAAGCAAAAAAAAAAACGGCCCTGCCCCCCCCCCCCCCAAACCTAGTATATTTCATCGCAGACAACAATCAGCGGTCATCTTGGTCGCAGCGCACGACGGAGAGAGAACGTAATACACAGTTCGGTTGCCGTGGCGAAGGCTACCTGTGCGCCGCACATACCGATCTGCGGTCGTAGTGGCCTCCCCGCACGGAGGAGAGGCCGTAGTGCCGTGGCCGGCTTCTGCAGGGAAGGCTACGTATGCGTCGGAGACACCGACCCGCGAACGGCGAGATGAGGACGCATTCGCGCGTAAAGCTCCGCCCGACTTTAACGGTAAAGGCAACGAACCTGGTCGCGGAAAACACTTATCGCAGATGAAGGCTACCTGCACGTGCGCCATAGACACTGATCGGCTGTCGTCTCGGTTTCAGTGCACGGAAAGAAGTAACGGTAACACTAAGCTTCTGATAAAGGTTATCTGGCCGTGGCAGACGCTAATCGTCGGCCGTCTCTCCCTCCGTCCACTCCCGTTCTGAGCGCCAGGATCGTTTTTGAAAAACGACACTTGTTTCTGGTTGCCAGAATCGCTTTTGAAAAACGACACTACTGATAACGATACTGTTTTGCGGCCCTAGACAACATTACCGCTCTATCTATGGGCCATACACAGTGATCGGGTGAAAGTACGTGTATACCTTTGGTCGCAATTACCGACACTCACACATCATACATTATGGTAACTCTAAATAGATCGTCGGGAGAAGATAACAGAAGGCCTAGCGACGAACAGACAACTTCCGGTCAAAATTAACAGAATTCCATGAAATTCGAACTTTCGGAAGTTCTGAGCATCTCCATTTCATGAATTTCGGCCAGAACGATCTTTTCCCAAATTTAATTATTTTTTACTGTTCGAAATTCATGGCACATTACCGTATTTTGTCTTTTATATTTTGTCTAGCTGGTCCTTTGGACCAGCAAAGCTCCAGAGTTTTTATCATATGACTTTCCATTACCAAACCACTTAAAAGCATGTCACCTAATCCCCTGATGGTCTCCCAGTCTCCATTTGCGCTGATTTAATCTCGTCTCCCAGGTTTAATTGCTAGACCCCTGCATGGACGGCCATATTTAGTTCACAGATCTGTAATTCCGACTGTTCTAAAAGCACCCCAACTCTCCCCCACTTGATTTTCCCCTACTTGATTTCCTCTCTACATTTTTATTTATGGTTTTTATTTATGATAATTAGTACCATCAGTGTGACCCCTGGTGGTACTCATGATTTAAGTCTGGACCCGTTTCGTCAAGCTGCACGGTCTCTACTTCATGTTGGTTGATGCATGTCACCTATACCACTTCTCATAGACTACAAGGACCTGTGACCTCCTGCAGCTCTTGGAATTAGGTCATATATTAATCTGAATTTGAAACCCCTCGATTTTTGGGCTCTGTCAATGCTTGTTGCACTGAAGCCTTGTCAAAAATTTTGAAAATTGATTTCTAAAAATCTCTCAAACTGAAAGAAAAATCTCTATAGAAGTCTGACCAAAAGTCATTAGTGGAGATTTCAAATAAGACCTGTGATTTGATGCATGTTTTAAAGTAGAATGGGCCTAAATTTGTAAAAAAAAAAAATAATTTCTGTGAAATTGCATAGATCCAGCAAATACAAAAATGTTTTTAAAACTATTTTAATGAATGTTTGAATAATGTTATGGAAAAATGTTTTGGCAACAGTGTTTTGAAAATGTTCTCCAAACATTTTTAACACAACAAATTAAAAATGTGTTAAAATGTTAAATAAAGTTATGAAAATGTTGTGCAAAAATGAGGTGGTTGCAGTGTTTTGAAAATGTTTTCCAAATGTAATGTTTAAAGTTTTGAATATAATGTTTTAAAACATAAAAACATTCTAATATTGTTACAAAAATTTTACATAAAAACATTCTGGCTACATTTTTTAAAAAATCCTTTCTAAAGGTTATACATAACATTTTAAAATGCGTGTAAAAAGATATACAAAAGATTCAAATGATATCATTAAAATGTTATGCAAAAAAATTAGAATGATGTTTTGAAAATGAATGAATGTTATGTATAACATTTTTAACATGAAGTTTTAAAAACATAAAAATGTTGTAATAATGTTCTTAATATGTTATACAGCCATTTTAAAATGTTTAAAAATGTTTGCTTAGGACCTATGCTTTTATATTATGGTGAAAAGTAGCTCGTGGGGTCTACTTTCATCTTCGTAAGGTTAGGATCAGTCAGGGCATTTTCACCGAAGTAGCAGCCATAAGATGCCTAAACTGAAAACTCGATCACTCTAATTCTGAACCATAACAGCTAGAGACATCTTGTTTGTTGCATTTTATAAAGCATGTTGAGCAAAACACTTAGGTGGATTTTTTCGTGTTAATAAGGAGTTTAAAAAGTACAGTGT